CTTAACTTGTCCCCCAACTTCTTTACCTGGTTCAAAAGTGGTTCTTTAACGCGCTTTCTCACTCTTCCGACTGCCTCACTCTCCTCTTCCATACTCAGTCCACATCTTTTTCCAGCTCACCCTCTCACCCTCGCTCTAGCCTCCGCTACCGTCTCATCGTGGTAGTGCTCCGCGCGCATATAACCATGAAACCATATCATCACATCATAGGAAATCGAGGTCTGGAAGGTCACTCGCGCCAGTACATCAGCTCTACGCTCGTGGATCAAATCCCTAGTTTGTCGTCTGCACTCACTCGCTGTCTAGTCCTCGTCTACATACGCTCGAAGAAGTACTGTCACAGTGTATCCTACGCTTACCAGTTGCTCTTCTACACGCATCACCGTGGTCGTCCTTCCCGACATTCCCTAAGCTGCAGCCTCGAAGAGAAATCTCACATCCTCTAGCCCCGCGGAATCGATGTTTGCCAGTCTCCTGCAGTACCTAATCAGATCGATTGGCCTCAGACAGTCCACCCTGCTAGTAACGTCTATGATGTCGTCAAGCGTCTCTCTACTGGGCGGCCCCCACCTCACACAAATGGCGTAGTATACTTCCTTGAAGCGAGGCGTTAAGCCCTCCCAGAGCGCGTAAAGTATGTGGTCCACTGCTCTACTCAAACGATCCACGCTCCCATAGGTCTGCCCTATCACGAAGGTAGGAAGTCCGAATCGCCAATCCTTTCTCGGGTAGAGGGTCGGATGTGGTGGACCATATACCAAGCAGCTCCAACTCGTCCTCCCTCCAGAGAGTCTCGCCAATTGCTGATTAACGATCACTCTGGCCAACAACTCGCTTCTCCACCTACTCCTGCTCAACCTTGCGAGCGTTAGTCCTATCTCTAAATCGTGTGCTCTATCCGCTATCAGATGTCCGACCCCTTCTAGATCATGAGTCCTCTCGGGTCGTTCGTCTCGTAGTATCACTGTCCAWASRAAGAGCCCYTCTGCRAGCCACGTTCCCAAGTATCRTATCGGTACACGCCCTGCCTCTTCTAACGCCACAGGAAGTGGTATGTCGTATCCAACCGCCGTCTCTCTGGGTCCCACAAGCTTCCTCCCACTATACGATTCGGACTCTCATGAGAGAACATAAGCTAACCAGGCCACTGAATCACTCCTCATCTCTTCTCCTACTCTCGGTCAGCATCACTCTACTCCCTCCGATGTACCCCATCTCTCGACGTTGCTAACCCTTCAGACAAGTCTCGCACTCAGGTCCAGTTTGGTCAAATAGGTTTAGTAGCCAGGCTAGCTCATCCATCGCCCTGGTGCGCTCCTCTACCTCCTACGCCCGGACCGCTACTCTATCCTGGGAAAATGGGCGTCTGTAACGTCAATCTCCTCCTCGTCAATCTCACTCTCTGGGTCGACCCAGTCTGGCTCCCAGGCATCCTCGTCGTCCTCTCGCTCCCAACCCTCGTCGTCAAACTCGTCCTCGACGCGGTATGGCGCCTGTCCTATACCCTGGTAGTATTGCGCCAACTGATGGCCGTATATCAGAGGTCGCCCGGCGTCCTCACCCCACCAGCTCTCCCAGTCGTCTGAGAAGAGCCGCCCGATGTAGGTCACGTACTCGGGGCCTGCTCGGAGCTCGCGGTCTAGCCAATCCCAAACGCATGGAGACTGGGGCCACTCGTCGTCTATCGAGCGGATCAGCTCTATAAGCTGAACCCTCTCGTCTCCCCAACGAGGCCCACCGGTTGCGAGCGAATAATAGATGTAGTCTAGGTCGGCAGGCCTTCTCGCCAGGACCTTGAGATCCTGATAGGCCAGATATGTCTCGACCACTCCACCAATACCTCCAAAGACGCTCTCTACTACGAACGTCGGAACTATCGCCCGCACGCTCCTAACGCTGTACGGGAAAAACCCGTCCCGTGCTACCACCAGCTCGCCCGTGATATCAAGAGGAGGGCGTCCATGAAATAGGGTCAACGGGTCGCTCGAGTCCTCCGCTCGGAAGGCAGCTACCTCTTCCCCTAGGTAGCGTAACACCCTGCTAACTGTGCCACTAGTCCCTGTCGTCGCGAGGCCCACCACGGCCTCCCTGACCGCGCCTGGTCCCAAATACAAGTAGGCTCTCACTACGCCCACTCCTTGCCCCGGCCGGTGCTCTCTGTACGTCCAAAGCCACGCGTCCTCAGACAAGATTATGGACCTCCATGCAAACTGGCCGTCAACGTGTCGAATGTTGCACCCGGGGACCGTGAGCTCGACCAGGTCCCCCTCTATGAGTTCAGGGGGCTCCAAATCCCAGTCAATGGTAGCCCCATAGACCTTTACTTGCACCCGCGGCCACATCCAACTGGCGGCTAGAGAGAACGCAGCAAGAGGGAGGTGTAGATTATTCACTGAAAATTTTTGTCGCTTGCCTCACACCTTCGGGAACAAGCTAGTAGGTTCACCCAAAACCAGGTTACTGCAACGTCTCTTTCTCTTCTTCTTCTAGGGAATTCTTTTGTATTTTTTAATATTAAATTAAAAAAAATATATTTAGTTAAGATAAAATTTCTTTCTTAGTTTGTATATATTAAGGATCAATACATATATAAGCCCGCCGAGTTTGATGATTTTTAGGGGTACAAATAAAATTTGGGGAATTTACTAAAATTTCGGCAGGGTTTCGCCTCCCCCCGTTGGGATGGGGTTCGGGCGAAGCCCTCAAACAGCGCTGCCGAAGAGGGAATATCAAAAGGAATAATGAAAAAAAAAGAAAAATTGATTAAACTCGATTTTTTAATATTTTTGTTAATTAATTAGCAAAAATTTAAATTAAAAGGGAAATTTCGAGAAACTTCGACAGCAGTTTTCCTTGCCCCCCGGTGAGATGGGGTTCGGAAAAAAGTCCCTCAAATAGGTAAAGTAGATATGAAGAGCATTGAAGTCAAACAAATGCCCCTACGCAATTTTAATATTTATTCCAATTTTTTTATCGATTCTAAATAACAAAGTCAAAAGTAAAATAATTCTTAATTATTTAATGGGGCAAAACTTTCCGAATTAATTTCCACAATCTTACGGGATATATTTGAAAAAAAATAATCTGTAACAAATGCGGAAGCTAGAAGCTATGGCTTCCCTCTATCTACCCGCTTCTCTCAAAATTGGGGTTCGGACTTCTCCCTAATTAGGGTTTCCCCTAATTAGGGTTTTGGGTTTTGCGCGCAACTGCACGAACACCGCAAAGACCTGCTCGACGCGAGAAAATTTTTGTTAGCTTTCACTAGTTTTAGAAGAAAAACTTAATGGTTTAAATTTTTAAATTTCTTTTTCTTTTAATTTAAACAAAATTGCAAAGAAACTCAATTTTCCGTTGATTTTCTTCCCCCTTTTCTATCTGTTGGAGCTCGCCGTTTGTCGAAACGAAGTCCGTTTTCCCCGACTAGGGTCTCAAAATATCAGGAAAAATACAGGGACCAACTTTGGCGGGGTTCCCCTAATTTCGCTTATTTTCCCGTCCATTTCAATAAAATGCAAATCAAAATTTTTGGAATTTTTAATCAAAAAATACAAAAAAATTCATATCTCACTTTTTAGCCGTTCGAATTTCTCAAAAAATATCTCAAAACGTTCGCCTCGATGAGAGGACGAACTTTGCTCCCGGAGCGCCTCACACGAAAGCGCGCGGTTCAGGAGATATCGAGGAAAAACCAATTAGCAATTTTAACTCATAATTTTTGGGATTTTTAATTAAAAAAATATAAAAAAATCCATATTTTTTTCTCTAGCCGTTAGAATTTTTCAAATAACGTCTCAAAACGTTCGCCTCGACGAGAGGGCGAACTTTGCTCCCGGCCCGGCTCGCACGAAAGCGCGCGCACCTGGAGATATTTCAAAAAAAAACTAAATAAAATTATTATAAAAAATAAAACGAATCAAGAATACAAGCTAATTAGTGTTTGACTAATCAACCCGTGCACCCCCGTTGGTTGGGGAAGGCCGCGGCCCTGGGGGTGCTGCTCCCCTCCCCGGCAACGGCGCCAATGTTGTGGGGAAACCCAGGGAGGGGTTGCCTACTGTTCGCTGAAGCCAAGGGCAACAGCGCCTGTCACTCGCTGCGCCCTATTCCGAGGTCTTCAGCGACCAGTAGGGTGCCAGTTTATATTTTGGTCATCTGTCACGTTCCTTTTTGAAGACCGAACTCAGGCAGCGTTTTCAGTTTTCCCGATAGGTTGGAGAGGGAAGCAAGGCTCAATCAAGCTTTTGTTGATTCTAGGTTGTAAACACGTAACTTCGCAATGGCCAATTCCTTCCAATATCAAATGGACGAAGAAAATGGCAATGAGATCGAAATTTTAATAATGATTGTCGCCCATACACCTTGCGATAATCGAGAGTTCACACCACACTCACCGTTCAAATTCACTCGCCCGGGCAATGATCAACAAGATCCCGGTTCAGCAACGAGCGATATGAAATTGACCCAGCAATGATCGGCGAGTATTGGTTGGCCAAAAGATACATAGTGTTTCTGCCTATGAGCGACGAATGGCCGGTTTTCTAATGGGCATCCGAAGTCTGATTCGTCAATGAGCAGCGTGCGTCTGCCCCCTCTACGAACAGAGGTTGTCTGATTCGTTGATGAGCACCTTGTGTCTGCCCCCTTAATGAACAGACCATGTCTGATCCGTTGGAGACCAGCGCGTGTCTGCCCCTCCCCTTGATGAGCGGGAGGGGTCTGATTCGTTGATGAACCGTGTAGAACAATAGCACAAAACTGGTTGATCTCCTAATGAACAGTAAGTGTCTGACGYCTTGGATGATTTCTGGTTCCTCTTCAGGTTAGACTCAAATAAATAAATAAATAAACCAATAAATAAAGTGAGCTCTCCGACGGCGCCTTCCCGCACTTTCTCSCATACYAATYCTCTCTTCCCCTSTCTCTTCCCTCACTCAGTTTGTGTGTGTGTGTGTGCTCATGCCMACTATGCACAACTCCCGGAAGAAACTCACAGAAGAAACTAAACGTCCGACTGTTTGATTACTCACTCATGATCAATGATGACCTTGTACTCAATCGGGGGGTCTCGGTGTCGCCGCGTGTCCATCTTAGAGAGAAAATTCAGATGTAACAACCATGATCTGTTCCGTATGGGCTTCTTACTTGATTTAGGCGGGTACCCCTTGTCAAATGATTCACAGCTATGCATCGATCTCCAATGAATCGGTGATCATTCGGGTCCGGATTCGCAGCATCCTGTTGCCCGACCAGGTAGAAGCATGTAATGGTGAGCATTAAGCAACACATACAATAAGAACAACTGGAGGGCTACATTGGCACTGCCCCCCCCTCGAATAGAGCACACAGTCATCGGGGCTGTATTAGATCAATGAGTTTGTTGCCTTTCATACTCTTTCCCTCGTTTAGAACACACGGTCTCCATTGTATCTGGG